AAGGGAAAGGAACAGACTGTGGAAGTTGGTTCCTTTCCTAACCCTTTTCTCTTATTCCTGCCTTCAGTTTTTSTGGACTCTCTTGTGTTTTGGACGCCGTTTTCTGTCTCTTTTGCACTGTCAGGTTGGGAACATCATTCTGAAGACCTGGCTTTAGGAGATGGGAACTGTCCATGGTGCAAAATAGATAAGTGTGATTTTGAGGAGCTTGTTTTCAATATTTAGTAAATCTCATCAAGATATGCTAGGATTTCTGAAAGTGAATAGCTTCCCAGTTAAAGGACCAAAGAAGGAATGAATTGGTACATAYGTTCCAAGCAGTGATTCCATGGGCGCATATCTTCTCGAGTCAGAATAAGAATCTGTGAAAGAAGGACAGTAGAAAACACCTATCCTACCCTGCAAACCATATGCACATCTTCTTATCCAGAAGGGAAGAAAGATAAGTCATAGGAAAATCTTTAAGGATAGTGTTGTACTGACAAAGCATGATTAATATGGAAACTTCTCCCTTGGACTGAGACTGTATTATCTTTGTCCTTTTCAGAAAAGAGTTTTTAGAGGTTACTTTGGTGCAACTTTGCCACAAAGATTAACCTTGTAATGCACAAATTTTAATAAAAACTGTGGTATGGATAAGCTGTTTTGCTTGCTTTTGCTGGTATCTAAGTGTGGTTTCATCCAATCATTAAAAATTTTTTTTTTTCCAGAAATTTAAACTTCTAAGGTGCACAGATGAATTTCCTTCTCCCTTTGACTTCAAGAAATTAAGTAAGATAAACCTTGTCCTTTTGACTGTGACTTTGCTACCTTACACAACAGAATAGCCATGCAGTTGCATTCTCAAAATCACACTTTTGTCATGGCTGCTGGGAAGTTTATGGAAGGACATGGCATTACTTTTAGACTGCTTTTTGTATTTCAGGACCAAATTTGAAGTCTGCTTCTAAATGTGACACCTAAGTCATTTATATACCTTCTTTCTTAAATACTAAGTTTTATTGTATAATGTGTAGAAGAAATGAGCAAAACCCACTTTGCTTTCATCAGAAGTTTTTCTCTGAATTCTAGTTTATGGCTTCATCKCAGAGAACAAAGAGGATTTTCTAAGGGTACTAATTAAGAGGTAGGTTTTGTGATACAAACACCTGTTTATCAAAAAACAGGACTTGGATTATGACCATATAGTTGTCTGGACCTTCGACCAATTTTCCTGTAGCAGCCGACTTCGTTTACAGCTGAGAACGATGAATTGAAGAGAGTAAAGGTACAAAAGCTCCATTCCCTTGGTCATTGAGGTGCATCACACTTCTAGTGGACGTCAGACCTGTTTTTCTTACATGAGTAGAGTTTTGCTCACTCCAGTCATGGCATTGCAAACAGACAGTTGAAACAGTATGGGTTTATTTCGCAATTGAAGTTAGGAAAGTTCCTTTCTTAGAGGAATCTCCAAATCTCATTGTGGAATTAACCAATTTTCTATGTGTACTTATAATTACAACATGGAGGAAACAGTGAAAACTTAAAACCTCTTCTCACTTGCTGCAAGACATGGGAATAATTAAAAGAGTTTTTAAGAATAAAATAATTTGTGGTTAATAGAAGGGAATGGATAACAAGTGTACTTTAGAGGAAATCCATTTTGCCAGAGTTTTTAAGTATAAAATTAGAAAATTCTTGCAGCCCATACAACATATATTTGTTTTAAAAAGTGTCAAGAACTCATCTTGCATCTTCATTCTTGCTCAATAGGATTTTGATATGGCATTCATAGATTCTTTTTAAAAACAATGTTCTAACGTGAATCTTGGGCAAACAGAACTTAGACATATATATATATATATATATGTCTATATATAAACATGAAGATTGGGTGAAGATGGATACAAAGCTGCCTAGTCTGGAAGTTTTCTTATCTTTTCCTTCCTGCTAGGTACCTTGTCCTGGATGGAGATTCTCGGGACTAGCCAAGACTTTTCAATGACAGTAACTTCACCATCAGTCAAGAACTAGGGAAATTTTCATGTTCCTTTTGTTGTTATTTTAATTGGAAAATTGAGCTAACTACTGTTCTACATGTCCTGTTGCCTCCTTTTTCTTCTATGAGTACAAGCTAGTCATAAGGATAGTGCTCTGTTTCCAGTCCTTTATGTCGTCTTCTGTTTTCTTCCCTATGGCCTTTGCTTTCTTATACAGTCCTAAATAAGTGCAAGTCTCTGTGGAATCCAGRCAGATGAAGTCCTTGAGGAGAGTAAATCTCTTGGTTTGAAAAGAGAGGGAACTGAATGTGAGACCCAACCATATGGACAGGCTAGGATCTTCTACAGTCTCCAGAGCATTTTCTTATAAAAGTCATTTTTCCACTTATGCTTCCTGCAGTGATTGACATCTGTGTGGTACTCCCCACTCCAAAGAAATCTTCTTTTTTTTTTTTTTTTTTTTCCTCTTCCACCTCTCCCTCTGGACTCTGGAGCCCTTGGATCGAGATGAATAAGAAAGTAATCTGGATTTGGAACTGCATCCTGGATAAGAAATTGCTTCTCATTTTTTTTTTTTTTTCCTGCAGTCTGTTAGGTTGCATGCAGTTGACAAATCTGAGATATGGGAAAGCCCAACRTCTTCAGAGTAAACCCTTCAACCCTAGGCTTTTCAGCTGCCATGGCCAATCTACTCCTCCCTATAGCATGGTCTTACTCTGATTGGCGGGGGTGAAGTGAGTTGCAAGAACCTTTTAGAATTTTCTTTTTTCCTTCTCTGTGGCAGACTAATGTTTCTGATAAATTTATAGAGGCACATGGATTCCCTGTTAAGTGAGCTGAGTGATGAATTATGAAATGCCTTTCAGCTATGAGTGGTAGCTTCGTGACTATCTGAAATTGTCATGATGGTAYTGCAGAAGATTATGCTTTAGGAAAATGGCCTTGAATAAGCAGTTGAATAAGATCTGCCTATTGACAGATTGTCACTCTGTCAGATCACTGTAACTTTGACCACTCCTGTTAGGATTTGGCCTGTCCCTGCTGTAGTTCAGAGGAATCCCTATTCTGCTTTTGATATGGAAGCATCTGAAGGCTTCCACAAAGAAACAACTTCTTGTCTACCTTCAGTTGTTAACTAGTTAATGTCTTATCACGTCATTTTTTAGCTTTTGGATGAAAAAACGAGTTGTTAAAGTTGACTGTGTGCTTGGATTGGAACCTTTAAGCAGTATATATATACATATGTATTCTTGGGTATTTTTGCAATTACTCCTAATTTTTTTTTTTTTTTTTTTTTTAAGAACTAAATGATATCTTCTTGGGTCACGCGTGCAGAGTTAGGGAAGTAACAGAATTTGTTTGGTATATTTCTTTCCTAGTGTTTATATTGTAATAATGTTGAAAATGGTTTTCACCTATTCTAACCATGTTAGAGGATGTAAGTCTTGGGTATTGTATAGTGAAGARCTCTTCCTGAGGTGCTGTTGGTTGAGGTATGTAGGGGAGTTGAGGGGAAGAGAACAGGTGAATTGACTCGTTCCTGGTCGTTCAGCTTGTCAGGGTCAGAGTAAGGAGTAGATCCCAACTCCTTCAGACCTCTCCGGTGCGTGTGTGTGTGTGTGTGTGTGTGTGTGTGTGTGTGTGTGTGGGTCACAGTTTTCTGTTGTATCTTCTAATCCAGACTTTTCCATATAAACGACTATGCTAACAGAAGCATCCACAGGCAAAGGACTGAGTAGTGAATAGAGCAAGCACTCCTCATGGTGGGGCTCGTAATTGAAGGCACTGCTGTGGGCAGCTATCAGCTTTCAGTGGTCCGTGCTGAGCTATTCCTTTCCCCATGTTTCTCAAAGGTTACAGGAGCCAAAATGCATGCCTCTTTGAAACCACCAAATGCACTGACTCAGATGTGCCTGTGGCCTTTAACTGTGCCTGCTGAGAAGATCCCCTCTGGCAACATTCACACACTTGGCTGGACATTTTGATGACTTATCAGAAATAATTCTGACAGCGTTATACACATTTTCTCTGTAATGCAGGATGTGTTGGAGAGTGTTGTGTAAAAGTTAATAGAAATCCCATTTAAATAACACAGCTAGTTGGATTGATGTATTATTTATTCAGATGCTGAACAGCTTACCCTTCCTTCCCCTCTATTCATCGTCCAGGTGTGAGGCAGCTGCACTCAGTATATCCCCTTTGAAACAGCAAATCTCATTCTGCTTTACACTAAGAGCCCAAGTCCACTAAAACTTTGGTGCCTGACTCCCTTTGGCTTTAGTGGGAGTTAGATATCAAAATGACTCAACAGACTTGATCCCCTTTATGTTACTTTGGCTGTAAAAAAAAAAAAAAAAAAAAAAAACTGTTGTCAGTTGTAGTCAAAGCATAATAAGGGAGTAGTTTCACAGTAGGAGCCCTGGGAAGTAATATTGGCTTAGAGTGCTTCTCACCCTGCTCTTTCCCTCCTTCCTCCTCTGTGCTACTGTGAACCCATCCCCTCGCTCCGGCCAGTGCGGCTGTTTGCCAGCTTCCCTCTGGTGCGGAGCGGATAGTGAACTTGGGCTCAGGAGCAGACGGATGAGATTTGCTTCCTTCTGAGTTGCTGTTGAGCTGGGTGGTTTCCTTTTCCCTAGTCACAGAACAAACACGTTTTTGCAATTGTGCTGAGAGAGCTGAGCGAGCAGTGAGTACTAGGATTGCCACCAAATGCTTGTCCTGTGAAACCACAGCCCGTGCCTTGAGGGAAGGGGTTGCCAACATAGAACTAGCACCTGCTGTAATAAGGCAACCAAAAGGAGCCTTAGCACAAATGGGGCTGGGCCCATAGACACCACAAAAACATACCAACAAGGGACATGCTTCCACAGTTTAGATCCCCCCCCCTTTTTTCTTTTCTTTTTTTTCTTTTTTTTTCTTTTTTCTTTTTTTTTCTTTTTTCTTTTTTTTCTTTTTTCTTTTTTTTTCTTTTTTTCTTTTTTTCCTTTTTTTCTTTTTTTTCTTTTTTCTTTTTTGAAATAATGCACAGAAAGGGCTAAAACGCGGGAACTTCACTGTATAGTGTCATGTGAAGGAACCAGGAACTCTTCAGGAGCTGCTCACGCGCTCCTTGTTTCCATAGTCCTTTGGGCGCCGATGATGTTTGTCAAGGAGAGGAGAAACTCATCAGGAAAGGAGGAGGCCTCGGGAGGGTGGCAGTGGCTGTGGCTGCTGCGATTCTGCTCTCATGAAGAGCATTCTGCCTGTTTTACTTTTCATGCCTCTTTCTGGCATTACAAAATTGTGTTACAAATTTTACAGAGGAGGGGGGATAAAGGAGGGAAAGGGACCAAGCACGCTGGCCTAGGCCTCTGCAGTCCGGTTGGTCCTCTGATACTCCTCCAGCTCTGTTTTCCTGTCTATGGCGAGCTGCAGCTCCTGCTTGATGACTTGGATCTGCTTCTCCAGTTCCGTGAGCTCTTGGATCACTGAGGTTCTAGCAATGTTAAGGGAATCTGCTTTCCCGTTGGTCGTTAAAGAAGCCGGAGTCTCTCTCCTCACCTGAGGCAGGGGGATGTCTTGGTGCTGCCGCATGGTCACTTCAGTTTGCCCTTCATCGGTGCAGATATATTTTTTCCGATGACAGTTGCTTGGATTAGCTGTATTCCACACGGCATGCTGGTTGTTCCCAATGTGAGACCTGAATAGAGATGAGGGAGTTAATAAGAAATCATAGGCTCCTCTTGTGGATGTGCAACCCTTCCTGTGAGTCATCCCTCTGGAGGAGGGAAAAAAAGTGCTGCTATTATGATTTATTAAAAAATGTTGTTTCTTTATCCTTCAGATTATTTTCCTCAGAAACATAAATTTAGGAACGCAAATGGTCAAGCTTTTGTGGTGCACAGAGGTGGGCAAAGGATGAAGAGGGAAACAAAAGTATGAGCAGCTGTGGTGCCCCTGTGTGAGCAGAAGGGCAGGACGGTGCAGGAAGGCCCTGGGTGCTGCGGTTCCCTGTGCTGTGTCCTTGCTGCCTGCTAGGAAGGCTCTGCAGAGTCCATGGAGACCCAGCCCCTGAGCCTTGCGCAGCAGACCTGCCTTGAGGCAGGAATAGGAGCAGTCCCAGAGATGCTGCAACACTCTCGTCTTGTAAATAATTCTCAGTGTCAAACCACTAAGATATAATTTCCGTTCTTTCACCCAACAGATTAAAAGATAGCATTTTGATAAGAGTTTTAGAAACTGATACAGCTTCTACACTTCATGGTGGTGTCTCTTCTGTCTCAAGCTGAAGTGATTTTAACAAAGACCTGGGTTCACTTCTGCATATGAAGTGTAGATGAAAATCCTTTGAGCTTGGCCACTACAGTCTTCTACTAGTAGAGTCTTCTACTACAGAGTTTAAAGAGCTTTCTGTAAAGCTATAACCTAAAAAACAGGTCAATTTCTTCCCTGACAAAAGTAACAGCAACATAATACAAATTCTTTCCACCTCTATTCTGCCTTGCGGTGCTTTTAGTAATTCCATATCTTCCAAGTGGAATAAGAGGAGGTGTTACAAGGTAATTGATCAGAGAGCACTGGGCTGTACCTTGCCATGTCAGTATTCATTACATCTAGGTCCCATGTTACCAAGTGTTATGTATATTCACTGCAATCCAGTTTAAATGGCAGCTCAGACCACAAGCAGCAGGGAATGGGTGGGTGAACATACACACACATACACACTGGTTGCCATATAGGCTGGGATATTTTAGGAGCCACATCACATGAGAAGAAAATATTTTCTGTGGTACTTCAGTATCAGCTTTAGGGCCATCTCCTTGTGCTAGGGAATTTCTACCCCACTTATTATCTGACAAGCTGATAATAATTCAACTGATGCTTTGTGTATCATCAGTCATGCAAACAGCGTGATATGAACACTGCTGTGCCCTAGTGAGCACCCAGTGTGAGGAAGAAACGTCTTGCACCAGTCAGCTCCTGTTACTGCTGCTCCGGTGCAATGAGGTGCTGCACTGGGGCTTTTGTGAGGCCATAAAATGAAGAAAAAAAATTAATTGCATATGTCTTTATATGCTTGATTTATGTAGACTGTTACACATTTATGTATTTTGACACGATTGAAATTTTGATTAAATTCAGTCATCCCAAATCCCTATCAACAGCTTGGAAGAAGTTGCATTTCCATTGTCTGTGCCTCCTGTGTAGGAAAGCAATACTATTACCTATACATTTAGGAGTGCTTTGTGGTTTTCAGTTAGCTGGAAAATGCTTAATTTTAAGAAAATGTTTTATGTATTGGTAGCTATAGATAAGAAAGTTTGTCTTTGCTTCAGAAGACATGGACTATCAAAGCAAGCAACTTTCTTACTTTTTCTTTTCTTCAGGAGTTAATTGAGACTGTTTTTTGAGGGACTGTGTTTTCTTTCAGCTTTTCCATTGCAGAGCTTGTATTTGTGTGAAAAAAATTCCAGCATACATACCACGTGTGCTGTAAAGATAACTCCCAGGACCCCTGCTTATCTGCTAGTATCTCAGTGTATGAGCTTATAATGCTCTAAAACCAAGGTTAGCAGATTTAACAAACTTCAAAGGCTGTGTTTAGCTTAGATTATTAGCCATGTGGGAAATCATAAAAACAAAATTTCTGGAGCCAATAACTGGTATTGAAAATAATTTGTTTCTACTTCACCCCAGTGTCTTTTCTGTCTTGTTTCCTTTCAAAGTATCTTGTTTGGGCCATTGTCTTTCAGGTATGTTACCAAGTACTTCTTTTCAAAGTAAATTTTGTAGTTTGTTTTTTAAGACAAGCAGAACTTCCCACCTCTTTTCTACTCGTTTTGTCTTAGGCTGGCGTTTGTCCTCAATAAATGAACTGTTCAGGGCACGATGTAATCTCTGCAGGGAAAATAAGAAAATGAATAAGTAAAAGCAAGTTTAAAAATAGCTCCATAAATGCGTAAACAATTTTGACTTTGTATGATCTACTTAAGCATAAATTATTTTGCGTGTTCAAGGATACAAGCAATGTCTGTGTTTGTCATTATACGTTAATCTCCCCATAGTTCTCAAAGAAGGGCAGTTTGTAGGGTGGATAAGTAATCTGCAAACACTCCTTTTTCTTAGAATTTCTCAGGAAAAAAAAGATGGATCTTGGCAAATTTCATAATGTTCTAACAGGCCTCATTCACAGTATTACTTGTGCCTTTTGCTTCAAAATGACTTATTCTCATAGGTGCTAATGCCTACAGCAATTTCCTTCCAGTATTTTCCTTAGATTAATTAAATTTTCTAGTACTTGTGTCTCCACCAGTTGCAAGCCAGTCCAGCAAAATTCTTGATAAGCAAAATAACATTCTACTGACTAAAAGGAGTTGTAAAGTTAATGGTATAAATGGAAAGATCCTGTCTGTAGGCTTTGCAGTTGTGAATATTTGAACTATTTCCTTTGGGCTTCTCAATTTGTCATTAATCAAAGAGATCTTCAGATAGCAACGGCTGCTGTCATTCCTCATTTGTCAAATGCCAGTCACCAGTGCCCTTCTGCACTGCTAACATACTGCTCTAGTGTGGCAGAATCCAGCACAGCTTCATAAGGCCAGGTACTGTTAGGCACTGTTTTACATAGCCCATAAATGCCTTAGCATTCTGACAGTAACCTGTTCGTGTTCTCCTATGTTACTGATACCATGAAAAATCAAAACAGAAACACCACACTGGTTGTGGTGACTGCAGAGAAGGTCTGACTTGTGTGGTCTACTATGATCCTCAGCATCTATTCTTAAAAGACCATGCAAGTTCAGATGTCATCACCATATACAGAAATGGAGATTACACTTTTCTAGACAAGTATGTGCTTAGATAAATTCCGGAGAAGGACTTGTTGACAAGATAGCAGGTTTTTCAGGAAGAATCCTGCATCTCTGTATGGACACAAGTCAACCATACTGCTCAGCTAAACCAAGAGTAATTTTATTGGGATAGACAGAGTAAAGCTTATAAGATACCAAAGACTATACTTCTTCACTAATCCACTTCCAGCTGGTGAGATGCTATGCTAGCACTGGACTATAAATCAGCAATGTGGCTTTGATGAGGTTAATGCTAAATACATACCTGGCTTGTATGGAGCCAATACTTCAGCTTGGATTTCTTCTTGATTCGTGGTAGGAACAGTCTGTACACTATGTGTTCCCCAATGGTAGTGAGAATGGACAAGCCAAATCCGATGCACAACATCACGAAGAGCCCAGAAAAATGTTTAATGCCCATTTGCAGCGTCTGTGGAAAGAATAAAAGCGAAGTAGGCACTTAGTGTATTTTAACAGATGTTTCAGTTTTCTCATTTGGAAATGTGGTCTGACTGAATACAAAGTGATGATATATTGAACAGAGTAGCCTGGACTGTGTTCATAGGAAAGACTTCCTTTAAAGCTTGGTGTCCAGTCAGAGCAAAGGATCTGTAACGGCAATGAGAATCAGGCCAAAGATCAGGAAATATTTTCAATGTACATTTTTCCTAGTGATATTAAGTGTTGCAAACATGAGAATCCAGTATTTTTGCTGTCTTTTCACTTAAATTTAGTGGAGTTTGACAAAACATAGTTAATGAATTTTAGAGCAAATCATTAGTCAACAGTGACCAAAGACTGACTGCTTCTATATTCTTAAATTTGGTCAAATGCCATTTTCATGTTTTGCATTTGACAGAAGGCCATGAAAATATGTTTCTAAGTAAAAGCACAAATATACACAAATACAATGTTCCTAAGTAAAAGCGTCTCCTTGTTGCCTGAATTAAATTTGTGTTAGTTGGGAAATATGTACTAATTTCTGTTTCCCTGTCTCTAAGTCATTTGTCATAGTCACAGCTGATTCTTGGATGTTATTATAGTCAGTGAAGCATATGCAGCTCTATTAAATTTTGTATGGAAAAGGAGAAAGCTTCAACATAAATGTCAGTTGTGAACATGCTGGGGTCAAGAAGATGCTTTTTGTCTGATTATATGACTTTTTGCACCTTTTATCTATACTCCTTTTAGTGTCATGTTAAACAAAGTACAGTGCTGATGTGGTACTCAGATTCCCATATTCATATAAACTGATGGAAAGATAAAGATATGAATGTAGACTGGTCTGTTTACTTATGCATTCCTGTGAATATGCTGCTGCTCAGTGTCTGTACATCTTCCAATTTAATGAGATGTGGCTTTTTTAGTAAGGTTTTGATGCTGCTATTGCATATATATTGTTGCTGTTTTGATCAATGCTGTTTTAAATGCTATTAAAATTAGCAGAAAAGCACAAGCTTTCCTCTAGTTTGTGAAAGTATGATTAAGCCCCTGTTTCTTTTTTGTTTGTTTGTTTTGTTTCTTTTTTTCTCCAGAGGTCTTTACAGCCAAGATCTTAGTATGACTCACTTACAAACTCTAAAATCAGAAATACCTGTAATGACTAAGGAGTAAAAAGGCTGTTATCTGTACTAGCTGCACATACAAGCTAAATTCTCTCCTGTTAATTCTCTAAGAAGCATCACTGCAAATCACTTCTCCAGTAAGAATGACCATAATTGCTCAGAGGCAAGTAGGAATCAACTTCTTCAGAGCTAGAGGTAGTGGGAAATGGAAGAAGAAATTGAATAAGAAACAGAATGATGAATTGATAAACAGATTGACCTGGTCATCTGAAGAACACATCTTCCCTGGGGCTCCTTAGCTACTGGATGGCATATTGAAATATTGGCTAGGAACTAGCACAGTTTTCTAGACTGAATTTACTATAAAGACTTGTATTGACAAGAACCTGTAAATCTGCTGGATGAAGGTGCATTTCCTTGACTATGTTAGACTTAATGCAGGAGAGAAGCAAAGGCAGCAAAGACCATTAAGGAGGCCTGATCCAGCAGCACTGGGTTTGGCTTATCCCAGTAGAGAGCTGGGAGTGTTTAGGCTGGAGAAGTGAAGGCTCTGGGGGCATCCTACCATTGCGTGCAAATACTTGAAAGGCGAGTGTAAAGAAGACAGGTATAGACTCTTTGCAGTGGTGCCCCGTGACAGGGCAAAAGACAAGAGGGCATAAACAGAAACACAGGAAGTTCTCTCTGAGCCTAAGAGAAAACTTCTTTACTGTGAGGGTGACTGAGGTTGCCCAGAGAGGTAGTGGAGTCTACATTCTTGGAGATACTCAACAGCCCTATGGATACAGTCCTGGAAAACTTGTTAATGGTGATCCTGCTCAAGTAAAGGTATTGGATAACATGATTGCCAGGGGTCCTTATCAACATCAAGAACTTTGTAATTCTGTATTCTAGGGAGCGTTTATATTGATCTAAGCAGTCAAATTCAATAGAATACAATAAAGTATTTGCAACTGAAAAAAAAAAATAAGGGGACACAACAACAATTGCAGTAGGATTTCTTGCATGCCTGGGATGTCTCCTGCAGCCTGAGGCTGGTGGCTGTTGCCATCTCTGTACTGGCTGCAGAAGGAAGGCCGGAGCAGCTCTTCATGTGGGAAAACAAATCCCTTGTCTTCAGAAAAGCTGCACTGGTTTATGTGGATGAGTGTCTGGATCACTGTCCTGTCAGCTCTGCAGGATAATCAACATTCCCTGAAAACAAGTTAAAGGAATTCCAGCTCTCATATCCCAGAAGTGTCCTTCACCTGTAACAGATAGCTTTTTACATCGCCCCAAACAAGACATCTTTCTCTAGAAATGGAAATGACAAAGCAAAGCATCAATAATACTTTATCTAGCAATAAAGAAGATAAATGCAACTACCTGAAGCAGCTACCTGATAAATTACCAGGATTAGTGGGAAATTTTTGAAGATAAATTAAATGAGATAAGTAGGTAGAGGAGAAATAATTAGTACAGTGTGTTTTAAGAGTACATGTAGTATTTATCTGCAGTGATATTGGCAGATATATGTACTACAGTAAATAGGTAATTTCTCATCTGCTGATATTACTCCTGTCACATATGTATGTCAAATAATAAAGGAAAGGATCTAATAAAGACACCACTCATTTTTATACCTTTGTGCTCATCAATAGCAGAGCAGGAAGGACCAGCAGATATTTTGTACTCCATGCATGTATTTGCAGATGTTATAGACATATTTTGAAAGAGCTGCAATAAACAGGCTACTCTGTCACTGCCTTTCCCTGCTAAAGTGGGGTCAGCTGTATGTGCTGGTAGTATAAGACCTTTTTTTTTTTTTTGTACTGCAGGATCTTTATGGAACGATTTCAAAGAATAACAGTTCTGATGTGTTGTATGCTCTTTTACACAGAACAAAAATACAGGCCTAACTTCAATTTTGTAAGCATAGGTTCAAGAGTTAGCACCATGCAACCTGTGGTGCGCATCTGAAGTTCCAAGCAGCCCTGATAAATCCTGCAATGGTTATAGCTAATATAACCATTAGAGGGAGCGATGCAAATAGCCTTTCAGCAATTTGCTACATACTAATTGGAAATGAGCATAGTGGCAGTTTCCAAAAACCAACACATACAGGAACAGAAGTGGAAGAAGCACGGTTTTGTGGGGTTTTTTTTTGTTTGTTTTTTGTTTTTTGTTTTTTTAAATAAGTCTTTGGAGATATTTCGGATATAACCCACAAATGCTTCTGCTTTCTTGCTGCCTCCTCTGTACGTGAAGGTCAGAAGCTCATATATATTTCTTCTTTGAGGCCCAAGGACAAGTTAGAGGGTGCAGAGAATAAAATTTTTATGTGTACCGTCAACATGTTCTCTCTGAAGTGGCAGTGGACACAAAAAAAGCACTCAATGTTCTCCTTGTTAGACTTCATAGACAAAACTCGTAATTTACTTCCTGCTACTTGAAACTGTAAATGCTTCATCTCCCTAGTGATACTAAAGGCAGTGAATAAGCCTCCTCTGTTGTCCAGCTTTCACTGATTTTTATGGGCTTCTTGTGGGCTGGCAACACACTATAGTTATTGATACCACGCACTGGTGATTTCTAGCACTAAATAGTGGTGTCACAGGCGTATTAGTTATAGCAATAAAATAAGCTATCCTTTTTCATAGAATTACCCAGGCAAAGTTTTTGGAAAGCTTTACTGAGATCAGGAATTTAAATTTTGGAGCACTTCTGTGAGGAAAGAATTATTTCCAGCTTTACTGGGGATGCATGGGTATTTATCACCAGTGATAAATAGGAATATATTTAAAGGGCAGATTTTTAAAGCCATTTGAATATCCCAGTAGGCCTTCAAAATTATATGGATGCTGTTGCATGTGTTTAAATAATTAAGCAGTACCTTTGTCCTCAGATTGTGGCATGTCCTCAGATTGTGGCAGGAAAATTGTTCTTTTTGTTCTTTCTCATGGCTTTACGTGTTGTTAAAGAAGTTGTAGCATTGAAGAAGCATAGACTTTCAAGGGCCAAAGCTTAATATCTTGTAGATCATTGTGTCAGGTATTAGCTAAACAATTTCCATTCTTTCCTTATTGTGAAGTTTTGCACAGATCTGTAAAAATACCTACTCTCTTCCAATGAAAATCTTTCTTTTTTTTCTTTTTTTTCTTTTTTTTTTTTAAACAACATCCATGATTCAAGCCCTATCTGTAGCAGGGAAAATAGCAGGGAACACAATACATATACCATCATAATTAGGTAGCATTCACATGATATCACTCGCTGGAGAACTGGGAATAACAGCTTTGTCTCCTTGGATAATGAAGGGTTTGTTTGTTCTTTTCACTTTGGACATGTTATTCCACATCTGATACTCATTTTCAAAGATACTCTAGTAGGAGCTCTTCTTTGGTCTCTGTTGTCAGATTTAATCCTCATCTATTCCTTTCTCCAAGAACCAGCATGGAAAATATTCTTCATCCCAGGACAAGTTCACAAGATACTCCCACATTGAGACAGCCCTTTTACAATCCAGTGTCTGTCATCGTGCAGTGCTCTTCTTCCTAAAATTTCCAGTCCTGAAGTGAGAAAGCATCAGTCCTTCTCCCCTAGAAAGCACATACGCAGACTGACATGTAAATTTTCTTGACAGCAGTAATTTTGTTCCCATTATTTGTGCTTGTTTTTCCCAGGCTGTTAACAAATTACCCTGAAAAATGACTAACAGACTCCTTTTATTTATGGGCCAAGCAAGCACACAGTGATATCTTCTCAGCCTGTGGACACCTGCATGACCTTTCCTTGTCACCTGCAGTGTGCCAGGGATGCACGCTAACCCTAGTGCCAAGATGACAGGTACAAGCTAACCACTGAGTTGTAAGATGACTG